TCTTGAAGGCTTCTGGCCTTCCAAAGCAGAGGTTAAACTTGGTCAAGTGGAGCTGCTAAATCTAAGTGGCATAATTAAAAATTGCCCCAGATGCTTTGCTTCAGCAAAGTTCTTGTCTGCCTCTGTGCTGTCCAAGCAACAAGTGGTGGGATGGTGTGGGGAGGGCTCTGCACAGCACCCTGCCAGTTATCCAGCACCCTTCCTCCTGGAGGCCAACAGCTGAGATCCCAGTGCCCCAATTCCAGCATGGCTTGGCAAACACATTCCATTGCATCCCCCATGACTTTGACCCAAGCTCATCTCATCAGGGATTTTTTTGCTTTCAGGATGTTTTCAGTGCAAGACTTTTCTCATTTCAGCATGGGAAGGGACTGGGCTTCTGTCACCAAGCTGCTCTCAGCGAGCTGCTGGTGATGTGGAAACTCATCATACCAGACTCCACTTGCCTTGTGCAGGCCTGGGACTGCTATGGTGACACCACAGCAGATGTCAGACCCTGGAAAGGAGCCACACGGGCTTCTGTTATTGGAATGCATGAGAAAGAGGGTCAGATGCTGCAGATGGGATGCAAAGACCCAGTTTTGCATAAGACATGTGCACCCTGTACAGGCTCTGCACGCAGAAAACGGCAGAGCAGCGTGCTGCAGCACACCTCCTGCCACAGACCCTTGCTGCAGTGATTTATTCCCCATCCTGCAGGCCGCGTGCTCTCCTCTCTGCCAGAGCTTATCAGCCGAGCTGCAGGAGTCTGGCGAGCCGAGAGGCGGCGATTTTCAGAGGCTTCCACCACCTCCCTCTGTGGCGCGTGTGCTCCTCCAGCTCAGCAACGCCCATGAGGACAAAAAGGGGCAGGGGAGGGTGGGGCTGGCCCAGGGCCTCCTGCCCAAAGCCCTCCTCACCTGAGCAGTGTGGCAGGGAGCCGCTCCAGCGCCCGTCCAGCTGGCACATGCGGGTGGTGTTGCCGACCAGCGTCCGCTTCCCCAGGCAGCTGTACCGCACCACCGAGCCCACCGTGTACTTGTCACCCGAGAGCTGAGCGTGGGGTGGGGACCCGGGGTGCCCACAGGAGACCACTGTGAGAGACAGATCAGACAGCTTCAACCACGAGGGAATTGCTCGTTCGAAGGCAGAGGCAGCAGGCACAAAGTACTGATGGTCTGAGGTCACTGCACGGGGCCTGAAACCCACTCGTCTAGCCCAGAGGCCACCAAATGCCCTGTGGCTCGTGCCACGGGGCAGGTGTGGTACAGAAAGACCTCACATCTGTCTCCTCCTGGGGGACGTGAGCTCCTCCTGTAAGAGCTGCCAAGGGTTTGTGCACAAATGCTGAGTCTTGACACTGAGAGGCATTTTGCAGGTTCCTTGCGGAACTCATCCCTTCTTAAATAGGATTGTTTCCATGCACACCCTCGCCCCCACCCACCCCTGGCAGCACCAGGTCCTGTGGCACAGGAGCTGCAGCTGACACCGTGTCACACCTGAGCAAATGATCCTGGCAGATCACTCAACCACTGCCACCAAAGACCCACTGCTAACCATAATTAATAGGTTTACTTTAGCTTAGCAATCAGAGAGGAGACAGGGAGGCTGCTGACAAATACACTGACAGATCTAGGGGCTATTAGACAGGTCTGGATGAGGGTGCTCAGCATAAAGACCAGGCACCACTCGCTTTCTGAGGGAAAGCATCCTTAATGGGGATCTTCTCTCCCTCTGCTAGAGGCTAAAAATACCAACAGTGGCATTAGGCAGAAAACACAATGTATGCTCCAATAAAAAGGGAGCACGCCTGTGTCTGGGCACGTGGGCGTTGAAATATCCTGGTGCAGAGCTGTGACTAAAACCAAGGACGTTCTGCAAGGAAATGGGTTTGATAGCTCATACTTAAACTCACACTGTAACTAACAATTTAATAACAGATACTCCAGCAGACTCAGCTAAGCTTAAAACCTGTGGTGGCGTTGAGGTTTTTAAAGGATTTATGTACACAGTGTGCAGACTGTTTCTTCTGATGTGTTAGGCTCTGCTCCTGTGCACTTATTGGACTTGCTCTCCCACCCCTCAAAGGGATCAGCTCTGGTTTACTCCCTCCTCAGACACAGGCAAGAGGCAGCGTTTGCAACCCAAGCTGGTCTGGCATCAATCTCATTTATGGTTTTGAAAATGCTTGCTGAATCTAGGTACCCAGCTAGAAACACTTTAAAGGGATATGGGTTTCAGCACTGAGCATATATTAATTTCAGCACACAGAAAACAAAGCCATGCAAAATTCTAGGTTTTTTTTTTTCTTTAAGCTATTAAGCTCACTAATTCAGATAATCAGTCACAAAACTGTCCTGAGTTTCCAAAGTTTTGGGAATGCCCACAAATCCTCCAAGTCAATGGATGCTCAACATTTTAAGGAAAGGGATCCCTTTTTACTTAGCTGGAAAGGTGTGGAATGAGAGCCTGAGGCATTAGGCACCCAGGTTTTAAAAGGTGGGTGACCACCCTCCCAGAGCCCCGTGGCTGCAGCAACACCCAGTTATCACTTGGGAATTCCCCAGGGCCCGTGCAGGGTGCTGCAAACAGGAGAAAGTGGCATGCTGCTAACAAAAAGAAAGGAAAACGTGCCAAAAATTACTTCGTAGGACTAGGTGTCAAAGGATAATGCAAGCAAAAAAGAAACAACGGTGGCTTTGGAACAGCTAAGCTGATGGGAACTGAAGGAGCCTGATTTAGGGATTCCCTAATCATTGTATTAGTTATATTTGTTATGCATAAGGAGATTGCAGCTACTGTAGTCTCCAAAGGACATACTCACTGTCCTGGGGGCTGGTCTGCCAGCACACTGCTCCTGCCCCTGCCACCAGCTCACTGGGCAGCCCTAAGGCACCTCCAAATTCACTTGGGACCTTGATTTCCCCCAGTGTAACACAGGGGCACCAGCCTGAGATCCTTCATAAACACCTGGACACCTCCTGCACCAGGCACTACCAGCACAGCATGAGACCACCAGGAGAGTTTGTGTCTTTCTATGCTACTGGAAACACCCCTTAGGCCAAACCAGCACCCAGACCCTCCCAGTTCTCCTTTCTTTCCCTGTCCCAGAGCCGTGCTGGCCACGCTGGGGTCTCAGCAGCCTGCTCAGACTCTGCCTCCCCTGGAGACCCATCTTGTGCAAGTCCTGCTGCCCTCCTCCAGCTGCACTGGCTCTGCTGGGGCTGCTTGGAACCAGCGAAACTCTGCAGGAGCTGCCTTCCCCTGCAGAGGGAAACCAGCCCTGCCTAATAGGATTTCTCTCCTCAGACCACGTATTTTCCTCTGTGGGCAGGATCCAGAGGCTGGTGCAGCCAGTGGAAGGACTCCCACGGGTTACAAAGGTCTTTGGATCCAGACTTTTTGCACAACCATTCAGCTAAGGGACAGGGAACTACGCGGGATGGAAACCTGGGGTGGATGGGGTTATTCTGAAGAACTTACAAAGACACTGTGGGAGGGCACGGTCCCAAGTGCCATCCCCCTGACAGGTAAGGACATGTGTACCCAATAAGTAATATCCATGGCTGCACTGATATGAGACAGTTGTTCCAAAGCTGAATCTGTGAGGCCCACTTGGCTGCACTTGACGGATGCTGTTTTCCAGGTGCCCGGGGTCAGTACAGTTTACAACTGCAAACAAACAACAACAAAAAAAGAACAAAAAACACAAAACAAAGGGTGTAACAAAGAACAAAGGATTGTCCAAAAATGAGCAGGCAAAGGGGGGGGAAAAAAAACTGCAAATCACATATGCAACAGTTTAAGTTGGTTTAATTTTTAACGATTCTTGGAGGCACAAATAGAAGAAGTCCTCATTGAAAGGGAAAAGAGGGAGCAGAGGCAATCCTGCAGGCTCCTGCCCTTGCTCCCTGAGCAGAGGCAATCCTGCAGGCTCCTGCCCTTGCTCTCTGGCCCCAAACTGGGACTTAGATTAACCAGTTGAGACCCACCAATTTCTTGACCGACACAGCAGCAGTATCGACAGGGATACTGGATTAAGGGAGCACAGAGGGAGGGAGTGCAGGGAGGGGAGGGAAGCTGGTAAGTGAATTTGAGTGTTAGTCCCAAGGGAAGGAGGGTAGCCTGGAAGGGGAAAGGGCTCTGTGCCAAGGCCGTGGTGTTTGCCTTGAGTAAACTGGTCTGTGGTTATCAGGTTGACTTCTCTAAGGGACTGGCCTCATATTTACTTGTGTCCTCCCCACTCACAACACACATTTCAATGTCTTGGAGGATGCAGGGCTGGGCAGGGTCCATGAACAGCTCTGCGTGGAGCCCCTGGGAAAACCAAGTTTGTGGCATGGGATTTACACAGGCCCTTGGAGCTCAACCACCACTTGTAGTTCCCTGAGGAACTGCAGGATTTGTTCAGGAGTTGATGACAGCATCAAGCTGGATTTTAGGAATCCAGAGAAACCAAGGAGGAAGGTGCAGACAAGTCCCATTTGCCCAAGCCAGGGTGGAGGCAGATGCTGGATTAACAGTTGGATGTGATGATCTTAAAGGTCTTTTCCAACCCAAGTGACTGTGACTCCCTGACTTACCACGGCAGGAGGGCAGGGTGCTGCTCCACTGGCCGTTGGCCAAGCACTGGGACTGTGAAGCTCCTTCCAGGTGGTACCCAGTGTTGCACACAAACTTGGCCACGTCGTTCAGATTGAACTGAGTCCCTTGGGTCAAGCCATTGGCAGGGTTGCCAGGGTGGCCACAAGTGATAGCTACAATCAGAAATGGGAGATGTTACTTTTTTTTTTACCTGGAAGAAAGTGGATTATCCGTCAGGAAAGAGAGCATAAAAAAACATCCACATTAGCCCTGAAACCCCCAGTGACCTCAAAGACTCGTGGCCAGCTCTGCTGGAAGACTGAGCCAAGGAGAGCATGATATCTCTGCTCATTTTACTGGCATGAGAAATTCTCTGAGCTGCTCTCTAAGCAGCCGAGTGCCAGCATCCGACCGACTTACACCGTAAATCCCTCGAGCTCCTCTTCAAAAATCCCAGCTCCTGCTATTAATCTATTGCCTTATGTTACCCTGGGCATCACACACAGAGCCAGGAAACTTGATGTTTTTCTCCCTCTCCCTGGTGTAAGTCAGATGTATGCTCACTGTACTATAAAGTTACACCTGGAGGAATAGTTAAAAGAGGAAAAATACGAGAAAAATCAGGTTTGTAGCATATGGCCTAGAAAGTTTAAATGTTCCTACTTTAAGTTGGAAAAAAACTTTGGGGGAAAATCTGTATTTCTAAATCCTTCAAACGAGGATTTTTGCACAGCTCTTGTGTCTGATGTCAGCTTGGGCCAGCAGGGAGGTGAGGGGCTAAGAGCTCCTGCTCTGAGCGGCTCCAGCACCAGCCAGGGGAGCTGCAGAGGCAAAGGCTGCAGCAGCACGAAGCACACCCAGCACTGAAACCCCAACTGCTTCTGCCCAGGCCACTCTGCAGGCACCTCAACAGAGGTGAGTGCTGCAGGACACAGCCCCTGCTGGGGGGGACCCCAAAATCTCTGCCTTGAGCACGGCAGCGAGTTCCACTGTGCCAACCTCAGGATACTCCAGAGAGAGATTTTTGGCTGCTTAAGGCATGTGACATATTCTGACAGCTGAGGACAAAGCAATATCAATTATTGTCATGCTGAAAGAGGCAACAGCCTGTTGGTAAAGTCCAGCACTTCAGCTCTGCAGCTGCCAGAGCCAGAAGCTAGATGGCAAGATGAAAATCCCACAAAAGATCCATAACACGTTTGACTGCCAGTGCTGGGCTATACCACAGGGATGGGAATTTATTCCTTATGCAAGCTGGTGACAGGTACAGGTCTAAAAAATATGAGGCAAGATAGCATTTCAGTGCTGCAGGAAGCAGATGTCAAATGCCCTGAGGTACTTCTGAATGTGATTATACAGGTTTTGAAACAGGTGATGGATTCTGTCCCAGAAAAAAAAAAAAAAACAAGGCTCCCCACAGTTGCCATGGATCAAAAAGACCCATTCTCAGAGAGGATGCAACTGTAGCAGGTTTAAAGAGAAAATATCAGGACAATAGGAAATTCTTATGTGCTAACACACAGCCCTGAGCTTCAGAAGCAATAAAGCCTCAAGGCATCTAATTGAGAGCCCAACAGTGCTCTGCTTTAACGACGTTAAATTTATGTTATCCATAAGGCTTAATGTAATGTAATAAGTTCAAGGCCAACTCCTGCACACGAGACACCTTCAGAGATCTCTGCACAAAAGCCTGGTGGGTTTTCAGGCACCTGAGTCAGAGGAGCTGGCAGGAGGCAGAGCCACACAAAGGGCCTTCCTGGGAACCAGCCCTGTACTCCTTCACTGCGTGCAAGACACAGATGAGCAACGTTCATCTGCTTTGTTCTAATGGGTTTGGTCCCTCCCGAAAGAAACAAGATGAGTCATGCAAAGGGATGCTGAAAAACTCCTGTATTTCCATAGATCTCCCTGGCAGCAGGAGCACCTCCAGCAACACGATTTCGTGATCAGAGGTTAGCATCTATATACTTGGCAGGTAAAAGTGAGTTAAAACTTTTTCAAGAGCATCCTCAGACACAAGAGTCATTCAAACCCACCTACACAGAGCCAGAATCAGCCTTTCCAAGGGTTCTTTTACTAAAAAGGTCACGCACAATCACAGACATCCTCCAAATTCTGGAGTTGCTGCTAACCTTGACAACTTAAGTCTGGTTTTTCCTTTCAGGCTGGAATCTGCATATTCACTGACAGGTCATTCCTGTACTTCATATCATGCTGTTATTATTATGCCTCCCCACACAAGGCTCTAAACCAGAGAGGAGAGATTGGAAGCAAACAACTGGAGAATCACGATATGAAGTCCAGAGATTACACTGCCCATTGATAAGAAGATGCTTCAACTTATTAATACATTAGCGCTCCAGAGATTTACTTAATTAGCTTATTTACTGGAAAAATAAATAAGCAGGTTGTACAAGGTGACTTGTGGCTGTGGGTGAGAGAAGACAGGCTGACTTTCCTCTGGCACAGCGCGTGGGTCTCAACGACGGCGACAACCACGGAGGGCTTGGTGGGTCCGTGCCTGCCTGGGACCCCCTCACCCCAAATCAGGGGTGGTCTCCTCAGAGCACCTTCAACCACGCTGAGCCGTTGGGAGCTCAGAGACTGAAACCCACCCAGGAACAGAATTTGAGAGTGGTGAGGAGGAGCCAGAACCGCTGCACCGCAGCACGCGATGTCCCGGTGCCCAGCCGCGGCCACCC